GGAAGTGGCTGAGCTAGGTCACCAAGTCCCAGCACACTGGGATCCCAAATGCCCATGCTGTCACCCAGGACATCCTGTTGCCTGTGCTTCTCAGCTGCCTATCATCAGTTGCCCCCTTGGGCCCTATGTTTTGAAAAAGGTTTACTGTTAGAAAGCCTGCATTATTAAATAATCATGACTTCCCTCTCCCATCCTTTATTAATCACAGACACATAGAGGGCACTCAGCTTCTAATGGCCCCTGGGCAAGCGCTAAGGGAAGCCAGCTCCTGCTCAAAGCTTGCTTGGATCAGGAATCGTTTCCAGCTCAGGCTCACAGGTCTGCTAGAGCAGCTCAGAATGTGACCTGAGGAGGTAACTAGATAAGGGGACACACCAAGGGTGCCAGTCAGGGTCAATGTGAGGGCTCCCCAGGTTCTCTTCACTTCTGAGAGGTGGCTCTGGGCCACTTCTAAGTGTCACTCCCAGTGTGACCAGCAGGTGGAGCAATGACCACATAAGGCCCCGGAGAGCTGCAACTCCTGGTCTGACCATGACATATATGTGTTAAGTTTCATTTGTGGGTTAGACCCAGTGCTGGGTGAATGGAAATGAATAAAGAAATGAATTTTAAAACAAAGTCTCCCTAATGGAGACAGACCTGTTCCCAGCATGTCATTTCTTGGGCCCCACCTCAGACTAGGGCAAGTGCCTAGTACTAGCACTGTTGGCCCTTTATATCTATGGGTTCAAACCAACCTCAGACTGAAAATATTCTAAATAGAGCGGCTCAGTGGGTAGGGTGCCAGCCCCATACACCAAGGGTGGTGGTTTCAAACCCAGCCCTGGCCAAACTGCAACAAAAAAATAGCCAGGCATTCTGGCAGGTGCCTGTAGTCCCAGCTACTCGGGAGGCTAAGGCAAGAGAATCACCTAATCCCAGGAGTTGGAGGTTGCTGTGAGCTGTGATATCATGGCCCTCTACTGAGGGCAATGAAGTGAGACTATCTTTACAAAAAAAGAAAATATTCTAAATAAATAAAAATATTACAGCAGACCAGCCACAGTGGCTCATACCTGTAATCCTAGCACTCTGGGAGGCCAAGGCAGGAGGAGCACTTGAGGCCAGGAGTTCAAGATCAATCTGAGCAAGAGTGAGATCTCATCTCTAAAAAATAGTGAGCATTATGGCAGGCACCTGTAGTCCCAACTACTTGGGAGGCTGAGATCACTTGAACCCAGGAGTGTGAGGTTGTTAGAAGCTATGATAATGCCACTGCACTCCAGTCTGGGCAAGAGAGAGACCTTGTCTCAAAAAAATTAAAGTATACAGGAGGATATGAATGGATTATATGTAAATACTACAACATTTTATATAAGGGACATGAGCATTTGCAGATTTTGGCATCTAAGGGGAATCCTGGAACCAGTACTGCAGGACAACTGTATGTGTTCTCTCAGAGTCTTGCACCACACCACTTACTACACAGCACAGCTTATAATTTTGTATTTTAGCTGCTTATTGTAACACATATTTATGTGATTATTCAATTGTCGTTCCACTGGATGGAGTATGGTAGGGCCAAAGCTCTGTCAGTCACCGCCATATCCTAGGGGAAAGAGCAGCCTCAGCCCAGAGCAGCTCAAGGGAAAACATGTTGAATTAATGAATGAGTATACAGAAGCCAAAAATGGGAGTTGTTAGACGCCAGACTCAAACTGCTAGCACAACAGAAACACTCCTGTGTCCCTGCTCAGCCATTTCTTCCTCCTAACTCTGTCCATTCTGGGGACAGGACTATCTCCCCCACTGGACTTTGAGTCCTAGGAGGCCAGGGCTAGGGCTATCTCTATCACTGCCGTGTCCTCAGCATCACAGGGACAAACCCTCAGCAAGACCCCGCTGAACAAGTGACCAGACACATCTGTGCCATGACAGGATGTAGCCAATGCTGTCCCAACATAGAGAAAGTGCTGATAGCTCATCTGGGAAGAGCAGTGTTCTAGGAGGTGGGGAAGTTTGAGTGAGAACTTGGTGGGCAAGGGTGATTTTGATCGATGAAGAAGGGAAAAAATTGTTCCAGGAAGAGTGAGCAAAGTAACCACAGATGTGGAGGCCCAAAAGGTGTGAAGCCCTCTTTGGGGAAACCACAGTGGGCTGATAAGGCCAAGGCTGCTGGGGAGCAAAGCAGGACTTAGGGGTGGAGCCTTTGGAACTTTGCCAGCTGGGTAGCTGCCAGATAGTGCTTTCAGGACCGGTCTGCAGCAGAAGGCAGAGAGGATGAACCTCTCAGAGATCAGAGGTTAGGATCTCTGTTAGGAGAAGATTCTGAATCATTCCCAAGGGGCTTTGGGTGGATGAAGTGGGTTTTGTCTGAAAATCCCTGGCCTGGTAGACAGGGTAGACATGCAAGTCAAAGGTGGGAAGGCTGCAGTGAACAGTGGGATGTCAGGCCTGGTGGGTAAGAGCAGCAGAAACTAGCTTCCTCTGCATCCCCTCCTTACCCAAAAAATGGGAAGGATGACGCCACCCACCTCAGAGTGGTCAGCCCTGCCATGGCACGTCAGCAGCTCTAAGCAGTCGACTGAATGGAACTGACCCACCTTCTGAGCTGATACAGACAAGAAATAATTGCCATCACCCTCCCCATAAGTGCCTTTCTCTGGCCCCCTGCCCATCCATCCCCTCTTTACCATCCTCTGTTAGGGGGGCCCTTGGGTCTATTCCTCCTGAGGCCAGGCCGGGTTTGGTGACAAAGGCAGGACCCCAATCTGTTACTTCCTGACCTGGTTTTTGAGGGTTTTTTTCTCTGCTGCCATAGGCTAGAGTGCCATGGCATCAGCCTATCTCACAGCAACCTCAAATTTCTGGGCTTAAGACTGCCTCAGATTGCCAAGTAGCTGGGACAGGGGTCCTCAAACTTTTTAAAGAGGGGGCCAGTTCACTGTCCCTCAGACCCTTGGAGGGCTGGACTTCAGGCCCCAGGACAAGTCAGCTGCTAAGCAGGACAGGCAGCGGCGGCAAAAACACCCGGCAGGCTGGATAAATGTCCTAGGCAGGCCGCATGTGGCCCGCGGGCCGTAGTTTGAGGACACCTGAGCTGGGACTACAGGCTTGTACCACAACACCTGGCTAATTTTTTATTTTCTTTCTTTTTTTTTTTTAGAGACGGGATCTCACTCTTGTTCAGGCTGGTCCCAAACTCCTGAGCTCAAACAATCTACCTGCTTCAAGCTCCCACAGTGCTGGGATTATGGGTATAAGTCACCATGCCCAGCCATTTTGGGGGTGTTTTATGAGTGGACTTTTTTTTTTAATTTATTTTTATTTTATTATTATTATTTTTTTTTTTTTGCTGTTTTTGGCCGGGCTGGGTTTGAACCTACCACCTCCGGCATATGGGATCAGCGCCCTACCCTTTTGAGCCACTGGCGCTGCCCCCACAAGTGGACTTTTTTATTATTAACTTCAATCAATATAGTATTGCTTTGTAATACTATAAATATAAAAGTTTCTAAATATTTCCCTCAATTATTTTCTTTCTTTCTTTTTTTCCTTTTTTTAGAGACAGTTTCCCTTTGTCACCCTCGGTAGAGTACCATGGCGTCACAGCTCACAGCAACCTCCAACTCTTGGGTTTAGGCGATTCTCTTGCCTCAGCCTCCTGAATAGCTGGGACTACAGGTGCCCACCACATGCCTGGCTATTTTTTTTGTTGTTGTTGCAGTTTGGCTGGGGCCAGGTTTAAACCCGCCACCCTCGGTATATGGGGCTGGCGCCCTACTCACTGAGGCACAGGCGCCATCCCCCTCAATTTTTTTCACTACTACATTTTTTAAATTGTGGTAAGATATCCATAAAATTTATCCTTTAAACCATTTGAAAGTTACAATTCAGTGAAATTTAGTGTCTTAGTGTATTCACACTGCTGTGCACCCATCACCTCTCTCCAGGTCCAAAGCATTTTCATCACCCCACACAGAAACTGCAAACCCATGAATTGATCACCTTGACTCGCTTTTAACTCTCCCAGATGCCTCTTGTTCTTTATTGTGCTTTGAAACATAGTGACTGGGGGGGGGGTGTCAAAAAATGAAGCAAAGCATTGCTTTGTTTTTAAAGCATCGCTTTGTTTTTAAATAGTGTTTGCCCAGCTAACAATAGCAGAAACAGCAACACTGGCAATAATGCTAACATTTATTATGGGCTTTATTCCAAGTTCTGTGCTAAACGGCTTTTTAGAGCAACTCAATCCTGAAAGCAACCCTGTAAACTAAGTACTAGATTATGATCAAAAGGAAACCGCAGTACCTCAGTACCTTGGAGACAGCCAGCTTGGACTGTGCCCTTCTGCTCAGCTCTCTCCTTGCTGTGTGCCCCAGGCCAGGTGATTGCCCCTTCTGGACCTTTATCCTAGTTTTAGCAGAAAGGCCCTAATAATAGGGTAATGCCAGGCATCTTGGCCCAGCTACTCCAGAGGCTGAGGTAGGACAGTCACTTGAGCCCAGAAATTCAAATACAGCCTGGGCAACATAGCAAGACCCACATCTCTAAATGAAAATAATAAGCTGTCATGTGGATGGAGTTAGAGGCATGTGAGCAGCTGTTGTGTTTATAGGAGGCTCAGGTCTCACCTGCCCCAGTCATCTCCAGGTGTGGATTCATTGGTTTAATCCAGGGCAGGGGTGGGGGGAGAGTGAGAAAGAGGAACTGAGGAACTGAGGCTGGCAGTGGGGGGCCAGGATGGCTCTCATTCGCCCTCCACCCCCAAACGCCAACTCACTTCCGTTCATACTAGTCAGCTCACTCCTGTGCACCCTTGATTCCGGGTCTCTCTGAGGGCAGAGAATGGGGGGGGAGGGTTCAGGCTGGAAATCACCCTGCAGCATGCTGGGCTGGGGGGGCAGAGGCTTGTCTATGTCCTTAATGCCACACAGAGTTCACTGAGTATTTGTTGATAAATGGATTAATTAATCAATCAAATCTTTATGAGGGCTCCAAGAACACATGAGGTGAGGTCAAGCTCTGTAAGGAGGCAGTTATTTATTCAGGAGCCTGGCAACAGGTACAAGACTTGGGTCTGCATTCTGGGGGAGTCGTGGGATCTGCCCACTGCACCCATTCATCCCCAGCTTCTCCATCTATCTCCCCACCACCTGTAACCCAGGTTCATGCCTCGTGCCCATGAACCTAGGTGGAGTGTCTCAGGCCCCTTTCATATCAGGCACATGTCCTGCATTGTCACTCACAATGCTGCAGCTTCTGCATCCTCTCACCTCCCATTGGGGTGCCAGGGCTCCCAAGTCTGACTGGGGCTGGGCTAAGGGGAGGGAGGGTGCTTTTTTGAGAATCCCTGGCTCTCCTGGGGCAGAAAGGGAGTGGCTCTTGGAGTGGCTTTGGAGAGGGCAGGGCTGCCCCTCGGGATTTGGGGTGGGCAGCTGGGCCCCCTTATGGATGAGGATAGGAGCTGACATCCAAAGCAGAGCAGACCTGAATACACAGAAGCCTCTGGGAACTTTTCCGCCTTCTAAATATTTAGACAGTGAGATGGATGGGGACCCAAGGGCTAGAGCAGGCTGGCCAGGCCACTGGTTATTTTGAGAGAACTATTCTCTCTGTGGTCCAGGATAAACGTTCCCTCTGTCCCTCACTCTCCTCCCAGAGCCTACAGCGGCTGCCCTCATGGAGGAGAAATAGCAGCTGATGGTCCCAGAGGTTTGGGGACCAAGGTTCTGGCATCTGCACCCATTAGCCCTGACCCTGCTTTTCTGGCTCCTGTTCCCTGAAGACAGTGTGGAGCTCACAGTCAGCTTAGGATGTCAGCAGAGGGAGCAGGCGACAGTGGCCTCTGCTTTGGACAGCGTTCCCACGGTGCTGTTGCTGGACCTCTGTGCAGGAGGCAAGGGTACCACCTGCCTCTCACCCCAGGCTGACAAAGGCACCCAGCTCCCCTCCTTTCTCCCATGGGCAGAGGGGGCCCTTGGGGGCCGAGAGAGGGGAGTCTGCACATCGTCTCGGATGGGGCCAGGACATAGGCAGCAGAACCACAGCTTGAGTCGCTGGAAGACGGCCTTGCGGAAAAGGATGAAGACCCAGGGGTCCAGGATGGGGTTGAAGGCATTGAAGCGGAAGGCCTGGAGGTCCCCCATCTCGCTGCTGTCTGGACTGATGGCCTGGGTGAAGCTGCGGATCTGAGGGTAGGGTGAGGGTGTCAAGGAACTCCCAGGAATCCTCTGCCTCCCCCACCCTGGCTCCCACTTGCTCACCGGCAGGGATGAGGGAAAGGTGGCATGTCAGAAGGGAAGGAAATAAGACAAGATGAAAATCAAGTAGCGAATGCATCCTGGAAGCAGAGGGAGGGAAAGCCCCAGCAGAGGCCTAAAGGGAAAGAGATGGGGTTGAGCATGTGGGTCCCCCTGCCCTTTGTAACTGGGAGGACTCTCAGACTCCATAGATTTTTGAATCTGACACCTCTGGCCCCCTGAATTTGCAGACAAAGCTGTGGTTGTGACCACGTGTATTTGTCCGCAGCTTCCAGTCTCTGAATCATCAAAACCCCCAAATCCAGCCTAGCCTCTTTAATTTTACAGAAAAACAGAGGCCTAGAATAAAGGGGCCATGACCAGGTGTCACAGACACTGGATGGGAGCCAGGATCTGTGCTGCTCTGGTCCAGAGGGGCAGTCTGGAAGCCCCGGCAGGAAATTGAAGTAAGGATGCAAGGGTGGGGCCCAGGCTGGGGCATTGGGGATCTGGGTGGTTGGGAGGTCAGGCTGTGGAATCAGAGGGCCCAGGGTAGAGACTTGGCTCTGTGTGCTTGTGGACAGGAGATACTGCCCCTCATCTGTAAAAATGGTAACAGGATAGAACTTTCGTTCCTTTCTTGCTAAATGTTTTTGGAATGGGTGCACGCAGTCATTTTGAAGATTATCTGAGAAAGTATTTGTAAGCCAGCATAGAGCAATGAACAATGGATCTTGTTTTCATTACAGGGGCAGGGTTAAGAATGGGCTGAGCTTGAGTAGTAGGGATGGGGGTGGTAAGGATGGGAGACACAGGTGGTCAGGAGGAATCAAATGGGGCCGAAGCGAATAGGGAGAGACTTCTCCAGAAAGTCAGGCGGTTTTGACTGCGGACAAAGCCTCTGTCTGACCTTTGAGTCTCAACTTCCCCATCTGAGAATGGGCACAACCCTCCTCTCCTCCCTCCCTCAGCTCCAGAGGGAACTCACCGTGAGAGGCAAGGAGCACACGGCCATGATGCCCGTCATGAGGGCCAACAGAATCAGGTGGTCAACCTCATCCTCACCCGCCCGGGGACCGGGGACCAGCGAGCCCTGGTGGCGCCTCTGCTGGCGGTACATGCGGCAGAGGCTGAGAGTGACGGAGCCGTTGCAGAGGAAGATGGCAGCCACCAGCAGGGCCACGAGGCTGGCGTAGGCCAGTGAGAAGGCGCAGCCGCCGGGCTCCGCCGAGCGAAGGCGGACAAAGCACCAACTGCCCGGGCAGTACTGCTGGTGCTGGCCCAGGCCCAGCAGGGGCAGCGAGCAGAAGAGGACACAGAAGGCGTAGATGGTGGGCAGCACCAGGCGAGCGCAGCGCGGCGCGTCCAGCTGTGCGTACAGGTAGGGGTGGCTGAGCGCCAGGCAGCGCTCCACGGCCATGGCGAAGAGGATGAGGGTGGAGGCCAGGCCGAAGAAGGTCATGGCAAAGGCGAAGGCGTCGCACAGCGCGGGGCCACCTCTTGCCAGGCCCAGCAACGAGCTGTTGCGAGCGTAGGCCACGAACACCGCTGGGCTCAGGAAGCACGTGCCCAGCAGGTCTGTCACCGCCAGCCCAGTGACCAGCACCGCGAAGGCCGACGGGCGCGACCGGCGACGAGCGCCCAGGATGCCCAGCGCCAGCCCGTTGCCTACCACGCCCGCCACGAACATCAGGGTGCTGGTGGCCGGCCCCACCGAGTCCCGCACGTAGGTGAGGTTCCGGCAGGAATCCGCCATCCCTGGCCTGAGCCAGAGAGTTCCCAAGGGCGGGAGGTGGGTTCACGGCGAGAAGAGCTTTCCCCTGTGGCCTGGCCCGCTCAGATGCTTCCTGAGCACGTTCCCTGTGGCAGCTGGGGTCTCCCAGCTAACCCCAGTTCTCCTTGTCTCCTAGTGTGTGTCTGTGTTTTCTCCCTCCTGTCTCCTCTAGTCCTTCTCTGTCCCTCTTTGTCTCTGTCCCTGTCTCTTTCTCTTCTCCCCCCTACCCCTTATTTCTTTCCTTCTCTATCTCTGTCTCTGTCTTTCCATCTCTGTGTGTCCCTAGTTCTCTCTTTTTCTGTCTTTTGCTGTCTCCCTGTCTCCGTCCCCTCCCTGGACCTCCTCTCCCTTGCCCCTCAGCCTTCTATCCCCTCCTTCTCTGCATTGCTCTTTCCCAGCCTCTCCTCACCAAGAATCTGCAGTCTCTCAGTCTCTTCTGCCCAGTCCCCTGCGTCTCTCACTCCCTTGCTTGCTCTGTGTCTCTGGCTGCGTTTGTCAGTCTCGTGTGTCAGCTTCTCCTTCCCTCCCTCCTTCCCTCCCTCCCTCTCTCTCTACTCATCTTGCCTGCTCACCCCGCTTTTTCATTTCCTCTCTCTGCCCCGCCCTCCCTCCCCCAGCAGTTCTCCAGAGGCCCCCTGGGCTCTGTGCTGTGCTGGCCTGGCCTTCTTGTCCCCCACCCAGTATACATCCATCACCCGCCTCTGCCCCTCTGCCTTATACCCCTCCGTTCCCCTTCCCTCTCCTTCCCCTGTCCTCTCTTGATCACTAAGCCACCTGCCACCTCCCCACACATAGGTCTCTTTCTCTGGCCCAGGTCGAGATCCCTGAGTTACCATCATTCAGGTTTGGAGCCCAACAAGAGGGCTAGGAGGGATCTGAGGGGTACAACTGACTGGTTTTTGAGGGGTGGCCATGGCCTGGGTTGTCTAGGAGTGGCCTCTGGTATCTATTCTGGGCTCCAGGCCCCAGGCTTTAGGACATTGCCCAGGGATTGAGAAATGACCGGGAAATTCCTCCCTCATGCAGTGTTTTCCAGACACTACTGAGATTTCTGGTCCCAGGACACAATTCACTCCAGAAGACTGAGGAAGGAGGTGTCCTTTCCAAGGAAAATATGCCATCTCTCTAGCCTGTCCCTGGGCTACCAGATCACTGGACAGAGCCTGGACAGAGAAGGGAGTGTGGAAGAACATATTCAGTGCACACTTGAGTGGGGCAGGCCTAGGAGACTTCCATGGTCCATCATCAAAGGGTCACACCCAGCTGCCCTCTTACTTCTCACCACAGAACTCCCAGGCCCTGGGCCAAGCTCTGGTGACTTTGACCTCTGGGAATAATATTTAAGCCACAGAAAGCTGTCCAAAGCTCCAACATTGTTGCCAGATCTCTCCCACCCTCCCCCCACACACCCCCAACTGCCACCACAGCCTCAGGCCAGTGTGGCCAACTCATGTGTCCCAGCTGCCAGCACAGCCCCCCTCCCACAGAAGACTACAGTTTCCCAAGCAGCCTCTGGCCCATAAGGACCAGATGGGACCTTAGAGGACCTCTCCTACAGCCCCTGTTTTTCAGGGAGGCAGTTTAAGTGTAGGGATTACAAACTCAGGGGTTCATGTCCATATGACATGGGTTTGTCTCCCAATCTGACCACCTTTTTACTTCAGTTTTTTGTTGTTGTTGTTGTTGTTTGTTTGTTTTTGAGACAGAGTCTCACTATGTCACCCTGGGTAGAATGCCCTGGCGTCACAGCTCACAGCAACCTCAAACTCTTGGGCTTAAGCAATTCTCTTGCCTCAGCCTTCCTGTGCTGGGACTGTAGTCCCTATAGCTGGGACTATAGGCGCGCACCACAACGCCCAGCTAACCTTTTTTCTTGTTGTGTGATGGTCTCAGTCAAGGACAGGACAGGAAGCTGGTGTACCTCAGTCTCCTCATCTGTACAGTGGGGTAGCTTCTGCCTCACAGGCCTGGTGGCCACCCTGGGCCTGCAGCATACCTCAGAGTGCCCTGTGTAAGGAGAGATCCTGTTCAGATGTCTCACGTCCAGAGCCAACAGAGACACTTCTGACCCGTGGGCCGCTGTAGTCTTGCCTCTCTGGCTCACGCTGGGACCACAGCCCCCTTCCTCTTTCCCCATCTCCTATCACTCATGCCCAGCTGGCACCCCAGCTTCCGGCAGGGTGGGTGCCCCAGTTTCAGCCCCACAGGGGCTCCTTGAGTTGCCACACCGCCCCACTCTAGGGGTGCCTTGTGTCCCAGGTATCCCAGCCACATATTTCCATCTCATGCTGTCTGGTCCCCAGGCAGACCAGAGGGAACTCAGGAAGTCCTATCATATTAATGAAGGATGATGCTTGGCAGGCTTGCGTCCTGTCCCGGCATCAGGGGAGTTGTTGGCAGTGGGGGTGGGGGGAACACACTATGGTTCCCGGAGTCTCCCTCCCCCTGGGTTCCTGTCCACACCAGGACCGTTAGCAGTCAGGAAGTCCCCTCTACTCCTGTGCCCATTGGAATCTCAAACTAGCCCTTGTCCCCCCCCAGGGCTCAGTTTCCCTGCCTATGCCACTAGGAGCAGCAAGCCCTGGCAACCCCAGCAGCAGTTCTGTGCTCCTACATCAGGAGAAAGTAGGGATGGCAATGACTGTGACACACTCCTAAAGAGGGGACTGAGGGTCCCTGAAGTCCGTGCCAAGGCTGGACATGCCTCGCTCACCTTCCGGGGATACCAGACCTCCTGACTGGCTGTGGCTCCAACCAGGGCCCACAGGCTAAGCCCACAGCAGGGCCCACCAGGGATTCTGCTCCTGACTAGATGCCTTGGAGTGAAGGGTCACCCCAGCTGCACTATGGGAAGAGGGGTGGCTTCCGGGGGGTGGGGGGTGGGGATGGGTGGGGAGGGCTATGGAAGGAACTGCCCTGAGAGAGTGAGTCAGCACTTTCCTCTCTCTAGCCACTGCTAGGAACAGGACTTGTGCCTCCCTAGAGGGCCCCCAGGTTGGTGGGCAGACGAGGGAGTGAGGAAAGAGGCCACTGAGAATAGGAACCGAGTCAGGGACACACAGCACTATGAGGGGACAGAGACCTGGGGCCAGGAGAATGTGGTGTTTTAGGGACTGTCGGTGTGTAAACTCAGTATGTGGGTCTGTGTGGGATTAGTGGAGCCTATGTGACCTAAGTGAGCATTTTTATCAGCTTGGCAATTATGTGTGTGTGTATATGTGTATATTCTGTATCATGCATGAAGGTAGCTGTGTATGTTTGTGTATGTGGAGGGTGTGTGTAATGTCAGTGCATGTGTGTCTTTGCAGGCATGGGTATGTCTACATGGGTGTGTCCCATTCTGTGTGGCCTTGGAAGCAGAGTTATTCTTGAAGGATATAGGTGTGTGTACGAACATGTGTGTCTCTCTGTGTCTGTTTAGTGTGGGCTCATATCTTTTTTTTTTTTTTTTTTTTTGACAGAGCCTCAACCTATCACCCTGGGTAGAGTTCTGTGACATCACAGCTCACAGCAACCTCCAACTCCTGGGCTTAAGCGATTCTCTTGCCTCAGCCTCCCAAGTAGCTGGGACTACAGGCTCCCGCCACAACGCCCAGCTAATTTTTTGGTTGCAGCCATCATTGTTGTTTGGCGGGCCCAGGCTGGATTCAAACCTGCCAGCTCAGGTGTATGTGGCTGGCGCCTTAGCTGCTTGAGCCACAGGCGCCCAGCCGGCTCATATGTTTCTTATAGGCTGTGTCTACCTAGGTGTGTTTGTATGAGTGGGTCCCTGGGTCTTATTTTTTTGTTAGTTTGTTTGCTTTGTGCCAGGGACTCTGTTGCCCAGGCTGGAATCTGGTGGTATTACCATAGCTCACTGGAGTGTCAAACTCCTGGGCTCAAGTGATCTCTCACCTCAGCCTCCTGAGAAGCTAGGACTACAGACAACTGCCACCATGCCTGGCTAGTTTTTTACTTTTTCTTAGAGATAGGGGCTTGCTCTTTCCCAGGATGGTTTCAAACTCCTGGCCTCAAGTGACTCTCCTGCCTTGGCCTCCCACAGTGCTGGAATTCCAGGCATGAGCCACCATGCCCTGCTGAGAATGGGTTTTGAAGCTCATCTCCATTGCTCACCATGTGACCCTGGAAAAATGACTTCCCCTAGGAAAGCTTTGTGCTTCTTCATCAAAAGGCTGCCTTGACCTTGTTGTTGGGGAGCTGAGTAAGGATAAGAGAGAGTTCACCTTGCCTGCCTCCCAAGAACCCCTCAAATAGCTACTGGTGTTATTCATTTAACAAATCCTAACTAGCAATTTACTGTGTGCCAAGGGCTGGGGACACAGAGGGGCCCAGAGGGCACCACCCACGTTCACCCAGTGTGCAGAGTCTGGGCAGGCAGGCTCTCAGCAGAGTCATCCCACAACCAGCCAGGACTCCCATCTGGTGGGTGTCTTCAAGAGGGCAATGCCAAGCAGCCCAGGAAATGAAGCCTCTCTGACACCCAAGGGCCAGTGCCTGCGGCGGCCTGCCCAGACCTGCATCTGGACATGCCTCAGACCTGAGATGCTACATTGCCCTGGGCCCGACCCTGTCCAGACTCCCTGATTTCCATTTTCCTGGCACTGGCCCTTGAAGGAGGCTGGTTCATCTCCACACACAGACCACCAGTTACTTTCAGCTGCAGTCCGCCTATGCCCTCTCACTGCTTTGAGAATCCAATGTGTCCATGTAGACCTGTCCACCTTGACAGTGCTGGGACCACTGGCTCTGCCCACTGCCCTTCCCCTGAAATGGGCCCCTGTTTATCTACCTGCCTCTGCATTCCACCCTGTTCCTGGGATTTCCTGCTTCTGTCTGCCCTGTCTTTTCCCAGGCTATGCTCCTCACCTGGGGGTACCCTCACTTCCTAGTCTTCATGGTCCCCTGGCTACTCCCTCTCCTCTCCTTGACAGTCATCCAGGGAATCCTCCACACTACCAGTTCAAGCCCCAACTGGTTGGGTGCTGTCACTATATCATGCCTGTTTTCTTTGTAAAAGGGGGATAAACACAAGTCACAAAAGGCCTGTTAGGGCTACAATGAGCATTAAGTGAGATGGGGCTTGGAAGAGTGCTGTCAGTAACAGCCAAGATCATGGCTGGTCCTGGCTCTGGGCTTCCCATCCCCCACCCCCTCAGCTATGCCAGGCACTGCCCTGAGCACTGGGTCGGGACGCAGGCAGTGATGTCCAGAAGGAAGACAGCCTAGAATGAGGCTGAGAGTCCTCAGGCTTGGGGTGGATGCAGGGAGGCATAGATTGTAACAAGCACTTCCCCCTGCACCATCTCTTGGCCTGGATCTGACCCCAGCCTGGGCCTGGACTCAGAGTTGACTTCACCACTGGGGGTGGAAGGAAACAGCAGCTGGTGTCCAGAAGCTAGTGCTGCTGTGGAGTTGTAAGGCTAATAAAATAATTCAGGTCTGTGCTTATGGAGGTCACCCAGGGACTTGCCTTGTCCATCTGCCCTGTCCCCTCTGGCTTCTCCTTTCTCCCAGCCTTAGTTTCCTACCCTGCCTCTCCCCTCCTCCAAGCAGATACCTCCTCCTGGTCTCCTCTGGATTGGCCCTCTCTTCCCCCCACCCAGGTCCCATCCAGCCATCCCCATTTCTCTATCGTTTCTGTCCCCCCAAGAGTAGCAAAGTGAAGGAAGAAGGGTTTACACCACATAGCTCTAAGATTCCAGCGCTGGAAGAGTCTAAATCCCAACAGTCTAGACACACGAAACTCTTATATTCCTGAGGTGCTTAACTCCAGAATCCTACTCAGACAAGGATGCAGACCCCCCAGGGTCCTGGCCCCATGGGGTTGAGAGACCCCATAATTCCAGCCCTCAGAGATCTTTGATCTAGAATCCTTCACATTTCAGGTTCTAAGCCACAAGGATGCTGGGTCTATGAATTCTGGAATCCTAGTTGCTTCCCTCACAGCATTCTCCCCCCTCCTCCTCTACACCCGGTTCATCCTTGGCTCTCTCCTGTCCCCCAGCTCCCCCGGGGCTCCCACAGACATGATGCAACCAGGCCGGAGCCAGCAGGGAGGTGGGAGGCAGGAGGGAGATGTAATTACAGCCCATCCTGCCTCAATCCTACAGGAAGCTCAGAGTTGGGGCCCAGGGGACCCTAATCCAATGTGAATAATGGAGCACTCGCTAGACTCATGCACAGCCCCACTGGGGAAGGGAGTCTCAGCAAGCCACCTCCAGCCAGATCCAGGGGTTCAGCCCCCAGCAGTCACAAGCTGGGGAGCAGGACTGTCAGGTTCAGAGGAGAGGACAGCAGGGGAGGAGGTGGCCCTTAGGCCAGCCAGGTAAAATAATGGTCCAAACCCACAGCTTTTGCAGTCTGTATTTCCCCAACTTTCAACTAAGACACAAAACATTTCATTTTCCTTTCCTCTATCAGAAGCCCCCACCACAGGCTCTGTGATAACAGGCAGCTGGCCCTCTTGCTTCCTTAAATAGATGACAATGGGACATGGTGGGGACTTTGGCAAACTAGAAAGCCCGGCCCTGCCTCATAGCCCATGGTTACCCTGTGGGTCACCATTACTTGCAATTCCAGAGAAGCCGGAAACATTGTCTTTCACGTGAACTATCTGTTTTTCGATTTGGCAACCAAGTCAAAAACATTTTTAAACATGATAGAGGCCAAAAATAGAGAGCCAGGAAAATGCAGCTGCAAGCTTTGTATGTTCTATGAGCCAGCAGAGTGTGAACTGGGAACCAGAGGGCAGAACTAACCCTGTCACAGTCACCTCTGTGTCTCCAGAACATATGTATAGTTAAATGAAGGAATCTACTTGTTAATTTGTCTCCTCTCCCTTCCTCTAGCCGTGTTTCTCTCTTCTGTGGGTCCTCAGGTTTCATTACTACCACGTTCCAGCTCAGATGTTGCCTCCTCCAAGAAGCCCTTCCTGACCCCTCAAGCTGAGTTAGGTGCTCCCTCTGAGCTCACCACCCATCCCAGCACTGCCTACTTTGGATTGTCACCATTTGGGAACAGATTTGTCTCTCTCACTGGACTCTGAGCCCCAAGAGGGTAGGACCAAGGCTGTCTATGTCACCATCTCCCCTAAAATAGGTTGTCAGGGAGGGTGTGCAAGGATGAAGGAAGGAACAGGGAAAAGTTCAGCACTTGAGGACGGAAGTGGGCCTGTGGGCTTGGCGCCTGTGGCTCAAGTGGCTAAGGTGCCAGCCACATACACCTAAGGTGGTGGGTTCGAATCCAGCCTAGGCCTGCCTAACAACGACGGCTGCAACCAAAAAACAGCCAGGTGTTGTGGCGGGCGCCTGTGGTCCCAGCTACTTGGGAGGCAGAGGCAGGACACTTGCTTGAGCCCAGGAGCTGGAGGTTGCTGTGAGCTGTGATGCTACGGCACTCTACCCAGGGGGATAGCTTGAGGCTCTGTCTCAAAAAAAAAAAAAAAGAAGTGGGCCTGTGGTAGGGGGTAGTTGGGTATTAAAAGAGTCATCAGAGAATGAGAACCATGGGATGGCCAGTGGGGATCCTAAGAGTCTCCAACCCAGGAGGGAGGAGAGGAGAGAGGCAGCTGAGGGATTCGGTTCCAGGAGTACTAGAGTCCACAGTTTGAATTCACCCCATTACCTCCTAGCTGTATGACTTTGAGCAAGGGACTTCCTTTGGCTCAGCTTCCTCATTTGTAAAATATGTATCATACAAGTAACTGCTTTCTGGGAGCTGTTAGGACAATTAAATAAGTTCAAGTTCAGATGGTGGAGCACTCAGTAAAGGACAGCACCCTGGGCACCCATTTCCTCTGAGGCTTTGGTGGTGTTGTATGCCCTCCACACCCACATAATACCCCTCACTCCACACACACTCAGAAGAATGGGAATGGATGGTTCAGCACCCATAGCTCAGTGAGTAGGGCGCCAGCCACATGCACTGGGGCTGGTGGGTTCAACACCGGCCCGGGCCTGCTAAACAACGACAACAACAACAAAAAAAATAGAGAGGCGTTGTCTCGGGAGCCTGTAGTCTCAGCTACTAGGGAGGGTGAGGCAAGAGAATAGCTTGAACCCAAGAGTGTGAGGTTGCTGTGAGCTGTGACGCCACGGTATTCTACCGAGGACGACATAGTGAGAGTCTGTCTCAAAAAAAAAAAAAAAAAAAAGAATGGGAAGGGATATTCCCCCTCCCGTGGCCCCAAGCTCTGTGTGTACCTCAGTTTCCACAAAAGCACATGCACTACTACAGTCACCAAGTTTATTGGACTCATATTTTGGCAGGAGAGGGTAAGCTGTCAGGAGGGCTTAGAGCAGTACACAAAAGAGACGCTTGTCACGGAAGGGGTTCTCAGCGGCGGGTACCGGCGTCACCAGCGGGTCGTCTTTGGCGTGCATCTCGCAGAAAGCTAGGAGCTCCGCGGCTGCCTGCGACACCTGAGGGTGCATGGGTTGAGGCGTTGTTGCCTTGCCCTCACGGCCCCGCCCCTCCAAGCCGCCCTTGGCCCCGCCCTGCCTACAAGGCCCCGCCCCTCCAAGCTGCCCCCTAGGACCCGCCCCTTGCTATAGCTCCACTAGGTGTCCCGCGGTGTTCCAAAAGGGTTCCCCCTATTGCGGTTCTAGACACCGCCCCCAGCACGGCCCCTGGAAGACTCCAATTGCAGAACCTCCACCCTATTCCCATCCTGACCCGGCACCTTCATGCGGTCGATGTTCACCTCCAGCTTCAGTTGTTCTACCGTCTTGCGGGCCTCGGCGATTTTGGCCATGTTGTTGGACATGGCTGTGGTGGGGAAGGGGTTAAAAACTGAGCGAGAGGGCGGCGCCTGTGACTCAGTGAGTAGGGCGCCAGCACCATATGCCGAGGGTGGTGGGTTCGAACCCAGCCCCGGCTAAACTGCAACAAAAAAAATAGCAAGGCGTTGTGGCGGGTGCCTTTAGTCCCAGCTACTCGGGAGGCTGAGGCAAGAGAATCGCCTAAGCCCAAGAGCTGGAGGTTGCTGTGAGCTGTGATGCTACGGCACTCTACTGAGGGTGATAAAGTAGACTTTATCTGTCTCTAAAAAATAAATAAATAAATAAATAAAATAAAATAAAAAGCTGGGCGAGAATGGGGGGCACATAAAGTAGGTTAGGATACTTCTGGATCCAGAGGTGGGGCTGGTGGAGGTGGGCCTGGGTAACCAGTGTTGGTGGAAGGATACATAAATGGGGTGGCCAGAGGCAGATGAAGGGAGATACAGATTACAAGGAATGGAATCAGAGGAGGGACAGAGGGGTGCACAAATGGAAGCACCTAGAGGCAGGTGAGGAGAGGAGCAGAGAGGGGCCAGGGAGGCAGGAGGGACACACAGATGCGAGGTTATGATGCAGGTGGAGGAAGGGAAAAAAGGACAGGGCCACAGGTGCTGGATCAGGATCCAGGTGTCCTCACCCCCTGAGGATGGAGTATGAACCAGGAGGGGGCCCCTCCCCAGGCCAATTAGCAGTGGCTCCAGGGAGAACTGAGAATTCAGATCTCCGCGGGAAGGGCGCAGAGGGGGCTCATTAGGGCCTTAGCGGCAGCTGCCCCCTACACCCCCCTGGGGGACCCCTTTCCCAGCCCTGGCCACCTCAAAGGCTCCTCTGCTCATTAGCAGCCAGGGAAGAGACTGGGAAGAGGGGCAGAGCGGATGGAGAGAGAGAGACAAATGGACTGGCAGAGAAAGGGATAAAGTGACAGAGGGAGAGACTGAGGCATAGGGGAAACGAAGAGATTGAGAAGGGATAGAAAGAGATGGAGAGATAGGGAGTGGAGCAAAAGAGGAAGAAGATAGAGGGACAATAGAGGGGCAGAGGAAGGGACAGAGTGACAGAAGGGGAGTAAGGCACCCACGGTATAAGAGACAAAGGTGGGGGGAGAGGGACAGAGGAGAGAAGGGACCAGGGAGAGAGGGACGGAGGGGTTGGTGGTGACATGAGCAAGGAGGAGAGGGGGGCAAATGGAAGGACAGAAGGAAAGATAGGCCAGATGGAAACGCAAGAAGATAAAGTCATTCTTAGGCTGACAGACGGTGGTCACAGATTGGGCAAAGGGACTAGCAATTGGGACCAGGACCAGAGACTCTTACCTGTTGCTGTTCAGGGCTGGGATGGCGCACGGTGGCAGAGGATGGGAGGCAGCGTCTTGTCGCCCCCAGCCCGCCCCGCCCCCTCCCCTGGGGCGCAGCCCCTGAGGACCCGCCTCCTGCCACCAGCCACCGCCTTCTGCCCCACCTTGGAGCTATCTCTCTGGGTCTTCCTCTCTGTCTGGGCCCCTCTTTGTCTCTCTTTCCTTCTCTGTGTCTCTCACAGTCACAAGAAAAGACAGTCTCCCTCGGTGTGCCCCCATGCCCTGCTGCAATTATTGTACAGTCACACAAACCCTTCCGGAGTGCCCCACACAGCCTCTCACTCTCTCACACATACTTTCTCACTCTATCACATGGGTTCACACTTGTCACCACCGTGTTACTCTATCACAGATGGACCCCTGCCAAAAACATACAGACTCTCATGGGTAGTGCCTTACACAGTGAAGCACCCTGTCTTGCTGTGTCACATGGTGCCACAGTCTCATGAACGACCTGTGCTCAACACAACATCCATGGTTGTTCACAATGCCACACACAGTCACTCACAGTGTAGCACACCATCACCAATAGCAGCTCCCATGATAGTCCAGTCAAATAAACTATCTCAGAGTGTCAAATGTACCATTAGTGTGTCACAAATCTCTCAAAAGTCACACACTTTCATGTGCAATTTAAATTCTCTCTTCAGTTTCACACCCTAGCGAAGCCGCATACACACTTTCTCAGTGCCTCACACGGTGACATCCAATTACCCATGCACCCTCCCTGCCAAGTACTATCACACACTGTTTTATACTATTTCCTAGTAACACATAGTCACCTATCCAGTGACATGCAGTGTGGTCACACACATTCCAGCACAATCTCTCAGAGTCACACACATCTAACACATGCCCTCCACACACAGCCACATAGAGTCTGTCTCTGTCACATGCACACCCCATCTCTTGGTGTCAGACATAGTTACTCGTGATGCCTCAGTGTGTCACAGAATCTCACAGTATTTCACACACACGTGCCATTGTGTATGGGACTCACAGTGTGTACCACACATGGTCTCATTTATGCTCATGCAACAATGTCCCAGCATTGTACACTTACACACACAAGGCCTCCCTCACACTTCCACCTGAGTGCCTCACACAGATGCACACTCAGGCACACACAGTCTTTTACACCCCAGCCCCCTCTGAGCCTCTCACGATGCCTGCTCACACGTCTCTCTATGTATCCCAGTCGTCACACAATCTCTATGTATCCCTCTCTCACACAATCTGCCCGTGTGATGCACATAGCGCTCACATGCTCACCCTATTGCACACACACTGCCTTCCCACATGCACCATCACACACAATCTCTCTCCACATACGGTCCTCCAAAGATTGTTTCTCACACCCACTCACAGTGTTACATACAGTCCCCCAAAGAGTGTTTCTCACACCCACCCTCACAATGCCACACATGGTCACCCACAATCTCTCAGTATCACCGATAATGTCACACATGCAGTCCCATTCAATCACTCCTCATCACACACAATGTCATACAGCCAAACACAGTCATACACCATCTCACGGCAGTGCACACTTGTTAATCTCCCAGGGTCACAAACCATCTCAGGACAGTACACACTCCCACAGTCTCCCGGAGTCATCCACAGACACCGCCGCTGTTCAGCACACAGCCCTTCTGGCGCTCACATTTAGTACCCCCGACCTCTCCCGACAACCCCTGCAGGCCACACGGGGGCGCCAGCGGTTCGCCGAGCCGCCCACCCTGCCCGCGCCAAAGCCACATAGGAGGCAGGAACCCAGGGCAAGACAACCCCACGGGCCCTGCGGGAGATAGAAGGGGAGCTCCAAGTCCAGAAAAAAGCATAGGAGGGAGATAGGGATCAGAGGGAAAAGCCAGAAACTGGACACAGAGAAATTCAGAGAGCGGGAAAGAGATGAGGCAGAGTCAGAGAGACGCAGAGAGAGAGGACACAGAGTAGAGACTAGGGATTCAGAGTGACAGATGGAGAGAGGACTGCAGAGAGAAACAGAAACACGAGATACAGAGGAAACACAGACATATAAGCAACAAGAGACACAAACCGAAATGTAGAGTCAGACACAGGGACAGAGAAACACAGAGATGTAGACAGAGGCACGCGGAGAGACAAAGAGACCCACAGGGACTCCTTCCACTTGGGGACCCGACGGCGGAGGCAGGACCTGCAGAGGCGCGCTCCAGAGGGGCGGGACCCGGGGGCAGGGCTTTTAGGGGCGTGTCTGGGCTACCATTGGAAGGGCGTGGCCTGGCGGAGGCGTGCTCCGAGGGGCGGGGCTTGAGGCTTGGGGCGCTTTCCTGTCTCTTCAGAGGAGGGAGCCTTGGGAAGACGTGAAGGTTGGGGAGGAGCGTCTCTACCGCAGTCGGCCCACCCCGATTCGAGTTTTAGCTCCAGGATAGGAAAACGAGACAAGAGGGGAGGGAACAGCAGTCCAGGTCCCTGGTAGCGATTTGATAGGGGTTGTCAGACCCGGCTCCCCTCCCCCTTCCCCTGCGGACACACCAGGGCCAAAAGGGGGAGAGGAACCCGGCCCACATCTGGAAAGCATCAGGCGCGCCGGACGTGCCAGGGCCCCAGGCCGGGCTACAGAAGGAGAAAGGGGAGCCAAGACTCTCCCCCCTCCCCATCGGGGTCTGCCGGCGCCGAGGAGGGGCCTGGGCGCGCGCCGAGCCTCCGCGCCTCCAGCAGCTGGTTTCCATCAGCAGTTCTGGCCTGGGCAGACCCCAATGACAAAACCCAGCTTAGAGCTGGAGAAGACACAGTGCCGACCCAATTTTCCCTCCACCTCTTCTCGACCGCCGCTGGAGGCTGGGGCGGTGGCGAGACAGACTTACACTACCTGAAGCCGCTACTGTCCTAGAGTTGGACACCCCAGCCGTCTTTCTACCCTACGGATAAAGTTAGGTCCTACCAAGCTTCAGCCTCAGGGCAACCTAGTGCTCTTTGGTATTACTGTCCCCAGTTTTGGGAAGAGGAAACTGAGACCCTAAATTCAGATGCGGCTATGGCTCAAGAAATAGTTGATGAATGCCAACAGTGAATTTCAGGATCAAATACCCAATGCCTACAGAGTATCTCCACCTGGTCGTCTAGAGGATATTTCAAACTCAATGCATCCAATACCAAGCCCCTGATTCCTTCTGCCAAACCCTCACCTGCCTCAGGCTTACCCATCTCAGATAATGGCAAAACTTCGGGGTCATCCTTGACTTAACCTCCTGTCACACTCTCCAGCTGATCTAGCAACAAATTCACTGACTCTCTTCAACCTATCTCCAGAATCCAGTCACTTCTCACCTCTGCTTAGTGGTTGTCAGGGGCTAGCAAGATTGGGGATGATAGCTAAATGGTACAGGGTTTCTTTAGGGAAAAATGGAAATTGCTAAAAATTGATTGTGGTGATATTTTCAGTCAGTGAATATGCTAAAAAATCAAATGAACTGTATGCTTTATTGGGGCGAATTTTATGATATCTGAATTATATTTCAATAAAGCTATTAACCTCTCCCCCAACAAAAACCCAAAGTATAAATCCATCTTCTGCTCCAAATTCTCCCATGCTTCCCACCTCACTCAGTAAAAACTAAAAACTAAATCCTCACCATGGCTTATGAG